AATAGGCGCCTCGGTTGTCCTACCTCCTCTAAGCGCCTCCGGGCCTGATCGTGGCCTCCGCCTGGGTACTAACTTGCTTCTCGCAAGCTTCCTCAAATCTAGTGCTTCTCAAACTTGAGCTGCATTGTCTGAAACCAGACCAAACCAAATCAACTGCTGTCGATTCTGATTCATAGCGATCTCCCTTGGTTTTCCAAGGCTGTAAATCTTTTTCCAAGCAGAATTTCTCATCTTTCTTCTGCTGAGTGGCTGGTGGGTTCAAACCACTGAACTTTTGGTTAGCAGCCAGCTGCCTTAAGGATTATCTGAAGGGATTGTTAAACGCATTGCTGGGCCCCACTCCTGAGTTTCTGATTCAGTAGATCTAATGTAGGGCCTGAAAGCCTGCATTTCTAACAAGTGCCCAGATGACGGTGATGCTGCTGATTCCAGGACCACACATAGATTTAATCTAGTGCTGTTCCAAGACACAGAGGCGGGTTCCAGATGTTAGTACTGTGTAAGCAGGAAAAAAACCTGGCAGCAAAGGAGGCTTGAGACCCAGGAAGGCAGTCCTGAGGAGTTTGGACTAGAGAGGCCCTTGAAGGGTTTGTGCAGGTAGGAAAGCAGATAGGAAAGAACCTTGGAAGCCCATGGATCCTCTTGTTACTGAGCTATTTCATTGGCCAGTCTCTATTGACCTTGTTTCTTCACTCCACGCATATTGATTGGATGCTAGGGCTAGGGCTACAAAGCTGAAATGACAAGTCCCCAGCCTCCAGGAGCTCATAGTAACTGGGAGAGAAATATGCAAACAATTAAAATGCCACTAAGATAATTGTTCCCAAGGAGGGAGTGGTCAAACTTCTGTGGAGGGTGGGTGGAGCTCTGCAATCTCTCTGAGGGGCTGGAGAAGACTTCATAGAAGAACTGGCATTTATGCTGACAGAGAATTTGGCAGGTAGAAGGGGTAGTGGGGAGAAGATGGAATGGGAAAGGTTGTCTCCTGGCAGAAGGAACAGGCAACAGGACTGCTGACCTGTAAGTTTCTAGAGGAAAAAGTGGTTGTAGAACACTTAACAGGTAGGTCTCAGGCTTAGGCCTGGGCCTGGTTTCCTTTCTATTTCTCTGTGTGTCTGCTCCTTCTGTTTCCTTTGCTGGTTCCTTGTCTGCTGCTTGCTCTTCACAAGCTAGTGTTCCTTCAGGTCTCTGTTGTGGCTGCCTTTTCCTCTCACTCTCTCTGTCCATTACTGGTTAGAGCCTTCACACCTGAGGCTATCTGCTCACTGAAGGGGTCCACATCTGTGTTTCCAGCCCAGGCCTCTGTCTTCAGCTCCACCTTCACCTCCACATTACGTCTCCAGGCATTTTTCCTTCTGTATTCAGCATATACCTAGCTACCTAAGCCAAAAGGGCTTTGTGAAACGACTTTACCAAAGGTTGCTGGTAAAGAGTAAATTGACATAGTAAATCTGTTGGTGCCCTTCACTAAGATAGAGTACAGGAGGAAAGACATCTAGGTTCAAATATCTGACTCCACAGTGCACTGAGTGCCCTTGGACAACTTACTTAATCTCTGTTTTGTTATCTGTAAAATGGGTTTACTAATAGTACCTACCTTAAAAGGATATAATAATTAAAATTACAATATGGTTGTCTTTTATTGAGCCCTGTATTAAGCACTTAACTTGAATTTGGAGATATTGAATACCTTTTTCAAGGTCACACAGTTAGCAAGTGGCAAAGCCAGACATCATTCTCACCTCAATCTTTCTGGAGATTGTGTAACAAATAGGAAAATGCTTATGGTATACAGTTAAGGGAAAAGGACAGAAAATTGCATAATCAGTGTGAGTATAATGTTATTAAAAAAGAACTTAATCTATAAATAGAAAAGACTAGGTGGAAATACAGCAAATGGTTAAATGTGATTATGTTTAGTATTTTCCTTCTAAAATTCTTTTTCATATTTCCCTTAATATGCACTATTTTTTATTAAACAGATTGAAAAACTAAAAATTTACTACATTAAAAACAATGACAAGTCCACAACTTGTTCTTATGTTTGACTGAAAATTACACTGTATTGATATTTCTTCTCAATTCTATTCTTATTTTCAACAGAAACTCAAAGGCTGTAGCAAGTAGGTATCACAGCCATGGTCACAACCTACAGCTTGACAACCTGGCTACTACAGCCAGCTGTCAAAATCGGGCCTGCCAGCGGGGAAGTTCCAGACAACCCCGGCTTCTCCAACCGCCCAGGGCTTTCTGGACAGCGCTACTTGAGATCAGTTACGTTTTTTTCTTCTAAATAGCAGGCCGAATGCTCTTTTTCCAGTTCTGGCTGAGTTGTTAGCTTCAGCCTGGCGGGATGCCTGCCGGGTACCTGGGCTCCCTGAGCACCACCCAAACTGGTCAGGCCAGTCTGCCCCGTGGCTGTTTCTGCCAGGGCTTGCCTGTGTGTGTGAGTGTGCATATGTGTATGTGTTAAGAGACCCACCCTTCTCCCCAGCAACCCAGGTAGGTGGAAGGCCGCTGTGGGCACCAGCCTAGCAGTCAGGCCAGATGGGTGGAGCTGAATTAATCTAACCTGGAATTTCAACTTGGCCTGCACAACAGGTGAGGGAGAAAAAGCAGCAGAGAGAATGGGCACTTTGGCAACTTGGAAATATTCTTGTGCCTTGTCCTTTGCACCCTGCCTGGAACATAGCCCGGGGTGACTTTTCAAAGCGTGCAGGGGTTTTAAGGCTTAGTTGCACCAGGGCCCCTCCTGAACGCTGTCCTCCTCGGTTACCCTCCGCGACGAGCCCGTTCCCCCTCCTCTGGGAGGCAGGGCGGGGGTATCGGATTAGTCTTTGTTTTCGACGCGAAAGAGCCGAGCGCGGTGCGGGGGAGACCGCGATGGCAGGGCTGTGGGGTCTGTCTGGGCAGGGCGCTCGGCCGTGACCCCGCGAGGGTGTCCCGCAGCTGGCCCGCGACCTCTGCCCCCGGGCACCCCCTCCTTGCTGGCCAGGCTGATCGGTACGCAGACGCGCGGTGTCCCCCCATTGTCCTGCCTCGGAATGAGCGAGCGACAGCCGGGGGAAAGGGGAGGCCCTGTTGGGTTCGTAGCTCAGGGCTCCCGAGGGCGCCAAGAACGTCCCGGACCACTCGGGCCGGCAGGGAGTGGCAGGAAGTGGGGACACCGAGGCTCGCTCGGCCGAGGGCCTAGGCTGTGAGGTCCGCGTGCCCCACCCCGTGCGGCCCGCCTCGCCTCGCGGGGCTGCTGAACCGCCGGAGGGCAGGGGCGGCCAGGCGGAGGGGTCCGGGAGGGCCTCCCGGGCGCCGACCGCGGTGGGGGAGGCACTGCAGGTGC